CTTCTCTTCTCTTCTCTTCTCTTCTCTTCTCTTCTCTTCTCTTCTCTTCTCTTCTCTTCTTATCTATTCACTATATTTTTCTTTAGTTCTCTAAAATTTGTATTGTTTTTATCTTATTAAAAATTTCTTTAATAAAAATTATATTTAAAAAAAAGAAAATAAGATGTTTTGGGGAATCAGTTTTAATGTTAAATCCATGAAGCGAATTTAACATTTTTAATGACTTGCAACCATTGATGTTCTTTTATCAGGTGTTCCAATTTTTTCACCCATGACCATAAATGTCTTTAATGTCAACTTTAATTTTTGATACAAATAGAATGTGGGTTTAATTTCAAACATTGATTCCATCAAAAATAACCCCTCAGGTTTCTCAGCTGCAGTTAAAGTATCCGGTCCATATTAAGACATTAAAACATACTTGAGTTGATCATATCTCCACTGTTTGTGATATAGGGAGACAAAATTCCACTTGAAGTTGAGAAAAATCTTTAAAATATTCATGATGAAGTAACTTATTTAAAGTAATGTTCCAGATTCTGCCCACCGCTTCCAATAAAACTTTTTACTCCCTATTCTTGGGGTAGAGGTTTTTTTTCATTTTCATTAATTAATAAACAACTAACATGGATACTAGAGCTATGCCATTCCTGGGCAGGAGCAGAAGGCCTAAGTTATGGAATCAATATACTGAGTTGATAATAACCTTCAAGTTTGGAGATGAATATTGTGTTCACTGAATTGTAAGTGTATGACTTCAGTACATTTTCAAGAAGTTGATGCTATACATACAGATATGGTGCTTTAATTAATGGATATAGTATTTCAGCTTTATTCCACTATACCTTTTTCCCAAAATAATATCATCCGATGAACCCAAAGAACTCAAGGTGTCTGTTTAAATATTGTTTTATAAGGATTATTAATCAGCATCAGGCTCTATGATGCGTTGGCTGAGAAACAAAACATCTTGTCATATTGTGCATTAATGGTTTCGCTAGGTGAGCACAGTGCAGAACAAGTGGATCTTGCATCCATGAGATGACTGCTAAGGAGGAGGATCACTTATAAAATGATAGAAAATGTTGACTTAATTAATTTTCAGAAAAAGGAGAACATGTCAAAATTACTTATATAATCATAGACAATTACTATTTTGTATCTTTTTGTTTTTGATGCCTTTGAGTCAGTGTTGCCTCCTGGCGACTGCCTTGAGTAGTCCCTGCAGTCTTCTTAGCAAGATTTTTTAGAAATGGTTTGTCATTGCCTTCTTCTTAGGGCTGAGAGAGCATGACTAGCCCAAGGTCACCCAGCTGGCTTAAGGCCTAATATGAGACTAGAACTCATGGTCTTCCATTTTCTAGTCAGGTGCTTTAACCACTACACCAAACTGGATACCCTATTTTAATAGTTAGAAAAGAAGCTGTGGCAACAGTTCTATATTTGCAGCCAGAATAGAGTTGCAACTGAGGAGAGAAAAGGAGGAGAAAGGAAAGATTAATAGTGATGGGAAATAGATGTAGAAGTCAGGAGAAAGGCCATTTTAAAACTGTAGCTTGACTTTACTTTTATGAATAGCTGTTATGGTCCACTTAGAACAGCCTAACTGCATAGAAAATAGTCAGATATTTTATGTCGTTTTTTTCTATTTCTAATAAACCATTTCTTCCCATTCTGAAGTAAAATAAGGATATTGACATTTTTGAGTACAAGATTCTGATCTGATTCTTGCATCATAAAAGATATAATCATGAGTAGTTTGGAAAATCTTATATTCATTTTGGGTCACATATTCCTAGGCATTATATTTCTTGTTGTTTCATTTAATTATTTTAATTCACTAATATATGCAATATTTGTTCTGAAATAGCATGATAATGAATAAAATAAATTAAGATATTTACAAGTATACTTTAGAATATAATTTCATCTGTTTGAAAATGTAGAGAGCTTAAGGGAATACACTGTGGAATTAAGGGTTATAATTATGTACAAAATCTGTAGGTTTGCTGTCAGACAATTTATACATGTTTCTTCTCAACTGCAAATTTTAAAAAGATTTCAGTTTAAAATTTAGGCAACGTGAAACTATATACTTTGAAACTTATACGTGCCCCTATTTCTATTAAAGCAGGTATTGCCATAGAGGGTGGTTTGTCTTGGACTATATTCTGTCATAAGAATA